CTCAGAAGCAGGATGCCACCAAAGGTGACAAGAAGTCAACAGACAAAAGGGAGAAGAGATGATGGTTGTTATAAAAAGGGGCACATTGCGAGTGAGTGCAAGTCTGTCACCAACAAACAACAGCAGAAATATCAACATAAAGCAGCTGGTGCTGCCTGCAAAGATGGTGCTGGCAGTAAACAAAAAATGAGTGACTGTAACCATGGATGCTGCTGCTACCAGAAGAAACATAATAGAAACAACTCATCAGATTCACCACAAAAAGCAAGTGTTATCACCATGATTAAACAGTGCATGATTGATGGTCAACTGAAGTTGGCAAATGGGTCAACAGTGCCAGTAATAATCAGAACATGTGACAAACATCAAAAGGTGTCAACAAATCATAACATGCCAGTAGGTGAAGCTATGTTGTGGACAAGAAAGTGAAAGTTTTATGAGACAGTGAGTGCAGAAGTGAAAACCAGTCTAGTATCTGATGGCCAGATGACATACAAAATACATTGGTGTGTGCTGATTGATGGGACATTGAGAAAGTTTTCATAGTAAGAATAAAGGTGGGCATTCCATACTACACAGGAGACCTTGAGGCCATGTGTATGAAGGCACCCATATACAACTTGGTGATTGGCAATATACCAGGCAGTAGAAGTTTGGAGGAACAAGACAGAAAGGAGACTGATGAGGTATATGCAATTGCCACAAGAACTCAAGAGAAGAAAAGCAATTAACACATCAAACCACTGCAAGTCTCAAAAGATGACATCCAGAATGTAGGTCTACAGGAACTGAAGGTAGCACCAAAGAAAGACCCTTTACTGCAGAAACTTTTGAGACAGTGTCAGGGAGAACCCTGAGCACTAGACAAGACTTACAGAATAGAGGATCAGAAGGGAGTGCTGTAACCAGATTTAACAAAGCAGTTCTACTGCGGAAGTTAAACAGATCGTAGTACCAACAGAATAGCGGATTTAAGTGATGGTGGCTCATGAGTTGATGGTGAGAGGACACCTAGGAGCAAAGAAGATTTCAGACAAAATCACCAGCAACTTCCATTGGCCAAGGGTCATCAGAGATGTGGCCGGATTCTGCATGGCATGTGACATCTACCAAAGGACAGTACCTAGAGGGAAGGTAGCCAAGGTGCCACTGGGTGAGATGCCTGATCGGACCATTAGCACTTGTATCCAACAAGTGCAACTGGTACATGCTGACAGTAGTTGATTATGTGAGATGTTACCTGGAAGCCATAGCACTGCCAAAGATAGAGATGATGAACATAGCAGAAGCCCTCTTGGAAGTGTTTTGCAGAGTAGGCTTTCCAAAAGAAGTCTTGAGTGACAGAGAGTCCCAGTTTACTTTAGAACTGATGCAAGAGATGTGCAGGCTCATCAACACCAGGCATCTTTTTACCACCTTGTACAACCCCAGATGTAATGGACTTTGTGAGAGAGTCAATAGAGTCTTAAAGAGCATGTTGAAGAAGATGTGCCAGGAGAGACCACATCACTGGGACAGGTACCTGCAGGCAGTATTAGTTGCTTACTGAGACATCCCACTAGTGAGTACAGGATTTTCACCGTTGAGTTACTGTATGGAAGAACAGTACAAGGTCTGATTCATAAGTGAGTGACACATACCACAGTATGTGTTAGACCACAGAAACAAACTGGAGGGGACATGTCCACTTACTCAAGAAAGTTTGTAGGCAGCTCAAGGCAGTCAGAAGCACTTTTTTGACAAGAAGGTCAAGAATTGACGTTTTAAGGTGGGACAGAAGGTCTTGGTTCTGCTGCCCACAGACAACAACAAACTCACCCTACAGTGGAAAGGACCTTTTGAAGTGCAGGAAGTGGTCAACAGAATGGACTATAAGGTGAAAGTGGACAGGAAGACCAAGATCTACCATGCCAATCTATTGAAGAAGTACTTTGTGAGAGAAGTAGATCTGATGGATGCATCTATTGAGGCACAGATGGACATTACAGATGTGTGTGTCATAGATGGAGAACCAGAAGACTGACTTTGTCATAGAAGAAGAAGATCTACTAGACTTAAGACTGCTTGGTGGTAATGAGACATACAAAGATGTCAACATCAGTGAAGAATTGACTGGCAAACAGAAGAAAGAGCTATAAGATCTATTGTATCAGATGATGTCACAAATAGACCAGGCAAGACAGACCTTGTGCAACACAAGATCAAGACCACAACCAGGGATCCAGTCATGGTGAAGCCCTACCAGATACCTTATATGATGAGAGACCTGATCAAGCAAGAAGTCAAGGTAATGTTAGAAGCCAGAATCATTGAACCTTTGAATTCAGCCTAATGTTCATCAGTGGTAATCGTGAATAAGAGTTACAGCTCAAACTGCTTCTGCATAGCTTTCTGGAAGCTGAACCTCGGGACGAGGTTTTACTCTGAACCTATGGGCAACATAGAGGCTATCATGACAAAACTAGACAGGGCCAAGTTCTTTAACAAGATTGACCTCAGTAAAGGTTATTGGCAGATCCCGATGGAGACAAAATCTAAAGAGAAGACAGCCTTTGCAACACCAGACAGATGCTACCTGGTCAAGAGGAAGCCATTTGGGTGAGTCAGCTCAGCAGCAATGTTCAACCACATGATGAGGAAGATGTTGCACAAAACCACCAATATCGAGTATTATGTGGATCACATTCTGACTCACACAGCCAGATGGGAAGATCACCTGAAGAAACTCAGAGATCTGTTTGTCCAAATGAGGGCAGCAGTTCTGACCATCAGATCATCTAAGTGTTACACTAGTTATTCTATGCTGGATTTTGTTGGGCACAAGGTGGGCAACTGACAGATAGCCATGAAAGAGAAGCTAACCCATATACTAAAGGCACCAGCTCCGATAACCAAGAAGCAAGTCAGATCCTTCCTGTGGTTAGTAGAATACAATACAAAGTTCATCTCAAACTATGCTGAAGTCACTGGACCACTGACTGACCTGATCAAAAAAGGCCAACCCAACAAGGTTAAGTAGGAACAACCACAGCAGATGGCTTTTTAGAAATTGAAGAACATGTAAGGAAGTTTGCCAATCCTTAGAATGCCAGACTTCAACAAACCTTTCATCGTTCAGGCTGGTGCATCAGATGTTAGAATTGGAGCAAAAACATGTAGACGAACTGTTTCCTATAATGTGCATCAGTAAAGAGCTGTTGAGTAATGAGAAGAACTATTGTGTGGTTGAACAAAAGTGTCTGGCCATCATACTTACCATTTGGAAATTCCATAACTACCTCTATGGGAAGGAGTTCATTATCCAGATGGACCAACAGCCCCTTGCTTACATCCAGATGTGCAAAATCAACAGTGTGAGCATCACGAGGTGGGCATTGTACCTTCAGAACTACTGGTTCTTATTCAGACCATCAAGGGGAATACAAATGTTTGTGCAGACTGTATGAGTAGACTTTTTTCCATGAATTGTAAACAGTCTTTGTATATAGTATAATATATTTTACTTTAAGAGGGGCTTATAGTCAGATATACATGATTGTTTCAGTTTAAGTTTAATGCAAGTATTATAATATAGATAGTTTATGTAGCCCAAATGTTAAATTTAGTTATTTTTAGAAGCGATAGTTTATTGCAAGTTTGTTTACATAACTGTTTACAAGTCATACATTGTGTAGTTCAATAGTTATGAATTGGTGATTGTTATGTTATTGCATCTTGTTACTAGAACCATCTGAGTGTTTCTCATTTTAATTGAGTATCATTGCATTATAATATCTAGTAGTGTGTGGAGCGTATGCTTCAAAAATTTAGTTCCAAAGATAGATCTAGACTGCATAATAGTGAGTGTAGCCTTAAAGGGCTTATAGTGGTTATTTTTAAAGTGAAATTATCACAGATTGTATTGTAATAACAGAGTAGAGAAGAATAGTTCATTGTGCCAATTGTGTTATAAAGTAATTGAACCTGCCTATGTGGACTTTGATAAAAAAACAAAATAGCTACAATTATCTAAAGCTTTGGATGCAACTGTGATAACCAACAGTGTAATGAACAATTGTATATATGTAACTTTATGTAACTCTGAACTTAAATGTAGATAGTATTTGTAAATTGTCTTCATGATTTAACAGGAGAATTGGAATCATACTTAAAAAACATATCAAATATTATATATACCAGCAAAAATGCTGCCCTATGGGTGGCTGTTTGTGCTAGTAATTACTAATCATTGTATTCTTAACTGATTGAAAAAATGTAGAAAAAGTGAACATTTTGTAAAGAATTATTTTTGGGGGAAAGTACTGCATAGGAAAAGTGTTTGGAGTGCACTAATTAGTCATATGCAATTCATTGCATCAGAATTTTTCAATGTACAGAACTCAAAATCTTCATCAATTTTACTGATAAAATCTGTAATGTTTTTATATATTAAAATTGCTACCCATTATCGAAAATATAGTAGTTTTTTTTTAAGAACTCCAGTTTCTCAGTACTTTATTTACAAATTACATGAATAAAGATATAATTAATCCTTCACATACAGTCCTAGTGAAACTCGTGTTTTTGTTGTGAGGAGAGTACTTTTATTTAAAATTGTGCTCTATTATAAAGAAATGGTTATTGTACATACTACAGTTATTTTTAAAATTGTCTGAATCTTGAATACCCAAAATGTGAAATTTTTTGTAGATTTTTATTTGTGGTGCCATTCTGTAGATGGTGCAGGAGTTTTGGTTACATACATAGATACTAACATAAACGCTATGTCCATAATAGTAAGATGGAATATTCTTAAGACTGTACATGGTAGAAATTAGTATTTTTCATACTTAGTGAAGTACTGAAGTAAATTACATTTTGTTTTTAAAAACCCTTAATTTTTATATTTTTTAATTAAACCTTTTGAATCTATCTTTCATTGTATAAAACATTGTAAAGCAAAGTTCAGAAAAGATGATGTAGATAAAAAAAAAATAAAGACTTTTCTTTGGACATTCCAGAATAATACAGAGAAGGTTGAAGCTGATATCTATAAAGGAGTGAGTTTTTATACAAACAAATTTCTGCCTAATTTTTCAGAGCTTATAGAAAGGACATTTATTAGCTTGGTTTTCTTTATTTGTTATTTAATTTTTTGACTTAAAATTTTACTTAAGAAGTGAAAGTGTAAGTTTATAGTAATACGTAGACAAAATTACGTATTACTGTGTTTTAGTCTTCTTAATTTTCAGTTTTAAACAGTTGTTGGTATCACTATTTGGCTTTGAAAATAAATGAACTAATCAGTCAAAAAGTAAAGCAGTAACTTCCATTAAAATTAACATGGTTATAGTTTCTGCTGAAAACTGAGTTGTTATTGTTAATTATAGGAAGAGTTAATTTCACAAAAAGAATGATATACTTCATTGTTAAAAAGAGAAGGAAAAGGTGAACATAAAAAATAAACAATTCTTACACTTGTTAAAAATTCAAAATGGCTACAGTTAAATATTCCTTGTATACCATTTTAGTTGATTTGAAATTTGTGAATAAATATAACAGTTTTTCTTTTTTAACGTATCCTTATGCCCTAATATGCTTATATAAAAAACAATTAAAGTTGTAATTTCAGTGTTTTGAATAGTATTTTGCATAGATTTAATCTTTACAGAAAATAACATTTCATAAAATTTATATTTAGTTGATAAATGTGTCATGATGCAGTAAATTTCATGTCTTCTTTAGGGTGTGTTTTTAGGTTGTCAGTTTGGAGTTGCTGCTATGTATATTTGGGCAGTTGGTATTTTAGCAGCTGGACAGAGCTCTACTATGACTGGTACATATGCTGGCCAGTTTGTTATGGAAGTGAGTATAAGAAATGTTATTTACTTAAAAATTAATACACCACTGATTTTAGGGACAGTGTGCGCCTTGTGGTTTCAGCATAAAATTTAAAAAACTCTAAAAAACATGTTGCATTAAGAATTATCTTTCATACATTACCTCTGATGACAAAAACTAGGAGTAAAACACTTAATTATGTTCTGGCCTAAAGTTTATAGGTAAGAGAAACTATTCAGTTTTTTAAAAATAAATGCTAATTGTTTGTTTTGTATAAATGTTCTAACAAAATTGTTGCTGGATGTGCCATTATATAAAAAAGTTCCTTTCAGAAAAATCATAGTGTTTTCAATAGAAAGATTTACCTGTCAAAAGCACTAGGGTGTAATAATTTTTTAACATTATTTACTAAACTTTTTGATCATATGTATTTTTATCATCATAAAGTGGTCCTTTATAAAAATGTTTACATAGAAGTTATTCTGTCATTAAAAGATTTGACATATTGTTTTTAATAGGAAATAGCATAAAAAGTGATGTATTAATCTTTGCTAGAAGAAAGAATACAGTGCATATTGTATAGTGCCTGAGGTTATGCTTATCTTTGAAATTTTGTTGTAATATGTAATTGAAGTTAGTTTAACTTGCATATAAGGATGCATCTGTGATTCTTAGTTTAAGTAGGTACAACTTTTTTGTCAGACTTTGTACTTTACATTTATACTCCAGAGGCTTAATTTCATGGCAGCAAACATGTCTTTAGTTGGATAAAATGTATGTAATTATGGGACTGTGTCTCCAAAAATCTTATGGGGTTAGTATCAGAAAGATGATAAAATTTTGTAACAAAGTTTCCCATGTTATCTTTATAATTTGGTGTAGTCTGTCTTTAGTTAGTGTTCACATGTTGTTCTTATAAGATCATAAAATTATATTTTCACATAGTGTCAATAACATCGGGTTAAATACTTCTCCCCATCAAAAACAAACAAGCATATTTAAACATTATGTATCGAATTATGGTTTTAAAGTAATTTTTTGTAACTACAGGGTTTTCTTGATCTTCACTGGACCCGGTGGAAGCGAGTTCTACTAACTCGAACAATAGCCATATGCCCCACACTGTTTGTTGCTATCGTTAGTAACATTGATGACTTGACTGGCATGAATGATCTACTGAATGCTCTCATGAGTCTGCAGCTTCCATTTGCCCTTCTTCCAACATTGACATTTTCCTCATCTGTTGCCATTATGGGAGATTTTTGTAATGGATTGTATGTACAATTGTTTTTTCTCTTATATTTTGCCATCATAGTAATGCAGTTCAAAAAACTAATCTATAAAGCAGTCATCAGTTTTGATGTGTAAGGATTAGCTGCACTTTATAAGAACAGTGCTTCAAATCTCTTCTTTCATCATTCATCCTTTTGACCATCATAACACACTATTGCAATTTCTACAACAGGCTTTTGCAAAAGATAACAAGATCAATCTTCCATTACAGACCATGGCCATCCCACAGACCTTTTTCAACTTTAAATCCTTGTTTATTATCTTGTTAATGGCATCAGAAAATATGCCTAAGCCTATCAAAATGGCTTTTAGGGTTTGAGTTTCTTCTCATACCCATAACCTTCACTTTGCAGATGAAAACATTCTTCTGGATTAGCTTTGGGTGTTGTTTTGGGACCTTTTACTGTCTTAAATGCTCTGCTGTACAAGTTTTACTACTTGCATGGAGATATTTGATGGCTTCCTCCTCTATGTCATTTAGCAGTCTCATTATTCAAATAACTTTACTTAGAAAAGGCTTTAACACAGAACTTTCAATCATAAGACTACCCATGGAAGTATTGTACTGTAGAATTACCAGGAAGTCATAATGAATCAGATGTGTAGGGACAACACATATACTCATGTTGCTGTGGTTTTTGTCTTCAGCAACATGTCGCTGCTTTAGCCTATGCAAGTTGTTCTAATGAAATGCAGTTAATTCTTCATAGCTATATTTTTTAACTTCTTGGTCAATTTTTGTTAATATTTAGCTTTTTAACTTAAACAGCCATATTATAGAAAGTATAATAATGTGTATAAGCTAGTAGGGTATATTTTTGCATATAGGAAAGGTGACACATTTGAATTATTTTCAAACCACACACCAGAGAGAAATTACAAAACTACAGTTGCATATTTGTGTTGATCTTGCTTCACAATTACTTGTCAACATAGTAAGTTTCAGAAATAAAAAAAAAGTAATGGCTATTGCAAGTTTACACAAGGCAGTTAAAAGTTACTGTCCCTTGTAATATTTGGTTATTTAGCTCTTCAACCCTGAACATTAGCTTTTCTTACAGAATCTTTTAGAATTAACTTTGAATTTTATGTCAGTTTAAAAAATTAATGGTCATTCATTAAAATATTAAGTGTTAACTGTAAGTTTTATATACAGCATATAAAAATATTCAAGTATCAAAATTATAAAATGAAACTTAATATTGTGCAAAACTACTTACTTTAATCATTTTAGAAAGTTTGGTGTGTTTTAAGAAAAGTATTTTAGAATATTAATAAGAGTTGTTTTTTTCCATCTGTTAATGTTCTAAAATTAGTGTTTTCTTCTGTTGCAGGGTGAACAAGGTTGTTGCAAGTCTTCTATCCATTGTAGTTGTTGCTATTAACCTTTACTTTGTCTTCAACTTCACTCAAAGTAATCTGCCACATCATTGGGCAGTATATCTTGGAATAGGAATTTTTATGTTCTTCTATGTTCTATTTGTGCTGTACCTGGTGAGTATTAGGTTCTCAAGATCATAATTGTTTTACATGATGATTTTAAAGTAAACCACATGTCTAAAAACAGAATATACCTTAAAAACTACTTGTCATAGGGGAACGAAAATTTCACTACAAGTGGACTGAGAATGACAAGTTTTTTTTTCTGGGAAGGCTGAACATGGTGCAGGATGTTTTAGAAACCACCAGCATAAAATATCCATGCTTTGCTGCAAGGTTCAAGTGCCTCCTTGTGATTCACAGAGGACCCAAAGTACTGATTTTATCCATTATCTCCAATTGCTTTTGTAGCTACCCCAAGGGAAGGGAGTGGTATTTACCTGAAAACAAACCCCCATTAGAACACCTGCCTATGGTACTTGAGCATGTATGCCATGTTTGGTCCTGCTATTTTATGTGTGTGTGGGTATGAGAATAGTTTCAAACATGACACCACCAGGATCTGGGGGCAGAAGGAGTAGAAACACAAAATCTGATGCCAAGTTTGGGTTCAGTGATCCTGAAAAACATAATCCTAGACCCTCATCATGCCTAGTGACCTTCTAGGCACATTTTAACCCTTTTTTTGCAAGAGGACTATGTTATACATGAAATGACATCCTCAGGCCACCCTAAGTCTACCTGCAAAGTTTGGTCCTGCTAGCTCCAAAACTGTGGGAGGAGTTTTCAGACAAACAAATTCACACAAGGTGAATTAATATAGAATATTAAGTGCAGTAGCACACCTATATCTGTTTTCTTACATTCTAGCATTGCTTTATTTCTCTTCTTTCTGTTCTTTTCAGCAATACAAGATTAGTAATTTGAATAAAATGCTTCTCAATGTGCAGGATATTGCAAAGATCAACAAACACTGTTCAGAATCTATATAGTGTTTGCAGTAGCTTCATTTAAAAATGCTCAATGTACAGATGTGGAATGACAAAAAGGATGTTTGACACCAGCTGTGACAATTATTGAAACTCTGATACCATGTCCAAACTTTCCTGAAATTTATGTTTTTAGGACAAGTAATTTTTATGATGTAATCATTTTAAATATGGGGTTTTGTTTGTAAATACCCAGTAGTTGTTTTTAATATGTTACATTTTTGTACAGTTAGGTCATTTTACTTACTTTAAGAAACTTCTATATTGCTCTTAAAATTCTCAATGAACAGCATTGGCAGAATTTACTATCCTATGATTTTTGCTTATCACTGCTTTGTGTGAAAATCATTTTTATTTAGGTTCAAGTAATCATGCTTGATCTGTACTAAACAGAGCTAGATTAAATTCAGAAAGAACGTGTTTATTTTTTCCCAAATGCTATATACATGTAGATTGCATTGATGAATGTTTAATAGATAATAAGCAACTGAACAATACAAGGTCCTGTATATGCATTATGTAACAACTGCAGTTGATAGATTTAGATGGATAGTTTTTCCCCATTCTACATATAGTCCTGACCTAGAATCAGTGGTTGAAAAAATGAATGAACTTTAACAACATTGACTATCTTGGGAAGTAACGTCTGGTTGTTTGGTTGCCCATATTCAGTATCTTTGGTACACAATTTTTGGTTGTAGTCTTATGATTGATTATGATCTGTCTTCTGGCTATTTAATCTGCATCAAGTATTTCTTGTAAAGGCATAGAACATGAGATAATCATTCTTCAATGAAGTAAAATAAAATTACTGGGAGTAAACAAACATTAATTGATAAAATCATTTAAATGGTTGACAGGATTTTTTTTAGTTGTAATGATTTTCCTTTATTTATATGATGAATAACTTGTTTAATGCTAATAATAATATTATACTAGAAATAATTTTCAGTGAAGACCATAAAAATTTCAAATAGCTCTTTAAAATACACAGTACCATAATTGTCAGCTAAATGGATATAAAAAAAATAAATGAATTTTCTTGCATTTCCTTTTTGTGGTCAAGCTTCTCAGAAGACTGTGTATGATTGAAAAGGACATGTGAAAGTGTTAAAACTAGTTTCCAGCTATGTGTACTAATATTTTGTTCTAAAAGTATAGTTTATTTTTTGTCAAATTTCAAACAAATTTGAGTGTGGGATATTGTCAATTGTTATTACATACATTTTTAAGATTGTAAATGTTCCTTTTTTTTTCCCAGTTTTGTTTCATCTCATATCTTATAAATTTCGGATTAGAAAACAATGAATTTGCTTTAATAAATTATTTAAGTCTTTTTTTTTTTCTCCTCTAGGTTGGAATCTTCTTGGTCGCTTTAGGATGCAAGCAATTAATTACTCTTCCTGTGAGTATAGTTTCTGGTTTTTCACAATTAGTAAAAGTTTCATTCTTTCTTACAAACATAAGGTTTTTATATA